TCTGTGAAAATGAGCTCCACAATTTATTTATGCCTTATGTAGAAGAAAACTTCATTTGTTTTAAATTGCTGCGTGATGGCCACGTGGGTGTTCTGTAGTTCCCACATGACAAAACCCAGCAAATACCATTTTCCTGATTACCTTTGGAGCACTTGTAATTTTATATAGGTCTCATCCCTCTCTCTGTTGTCTCTCTCCCAAGCTAAATAAATTGGAGTTCATTTAGTCACCCCTTACACAGCAGCCATTCTCTGTCTTTGGTCATCTTTGTTACCATTCTTTGTACCTTTTCTATACCTGTTAGACATGTATTTCAGATGAGGAATCCAGGCATGCACACATATAGTACAGATGAGCTACAGGATTTTGTAATGACATCATAAAATGCTATCTATTTATTTCCTAATATTTTCCAACATTCTACTTGCCATTAAATTCAGGAGACTATAGTATGGACCCTACAATTTTGATCTGAAAAATTGCAGTCACTGAGAAGAGAGCTATTTCCTTAACCTGAAATCCTGAACACAGTACACACCTAGTCTAAAGGTTGATGTCAGGAAAATATGAGGAAAATCTGGAAAATGCTAATGATGTGATCAGATCATGTAAGCTATAAAATTCATTGTTAGTTATTTTACAAGTTTGATGAGGAACCTGTTTAGTTTGGATCAGTAATGACTTCAGAAAATCACAACACAAAAGCCTGCAGACAGATTTCATATAAATGTGCTTTATTGCAGAGAAGTTACATTATTTACATGCTGCAACACATTACAACATAAATCTATCAAGTATTTCATGGTGGATGCCGTTGGTTGCCAGATAACATTGTTATAAGAACCACATTATAAAGTGAAGAGACTTACAGCTTTATATACTCTACAACTTGGAGTAGCTAAAATGTTAAAAGTCAAAAGGCAGTGTTTTCTCAGGCCTGCCTGTTGTCATATGCATGCAAAAGCCTAAGGAGAGCAAATATAAAAGTATTGTCCGGTTTCAGGTCTATGATGCCACCAAAGCTCATGATAGGTGTGTACTGATTTATATTTTAAAGCGTATAATCTTGCATAAATTATACAAGTCTAATAAGATTGGTATAAATCTAATTATTTATAAAGCATGGCTTAGAAATAAAGGAGAAATGCAGCTTGCACATGCATTTAAAAGGACAACCTAGCAAATGTTTGTGACCTTAGTGTTTATTGTCTTTTCTCTTAACAGATCTGCTAGAAAACACCTTAATTCTAGAGTTGCACTTCTCTTGTCTGAATAATGACAATGAAACTCCAGGAAAAGACAACTAAGCAATCTAGCCAATATATGCTGGTGGAAAAAAGTCTATGGAATATAGAACATTATTCATGTCTAACTTAGTATGTCTTCATTAAGCAATGTTTCTAGCAGCATCATAGTGAAATAGAATACTTGAGTGAAGTCTGGCCCCTCATTTCCTCGAGTGTGAAATAATTTAAAGTCCCAATTGAATCTGTAGCCCAAATACCAGTTGCTAAATAAACTGGGGAAAGCTTTGTTGTCTTCTAAAGGAAAGTTCTCCAATTGCATCAGTCTTAGGAGATGTGACAAGCCTAAAGAACCGTAACAGACATTAAGAAGTGAGGGAAAGGGTCAAGATGAAAGAAAACAAAACCAAACAAGAATATACAAGCCTTCCCTGGTAAATCAGCCGTTGTTCTTTTGCTTGCTGTGCAGTTGGGCTGTTTTACACCAGCCAAGGCTTTCTTTCCGTGTTTCTAATGAAGTTATATTTTAAAAAGAAAGGGCAAAGAAAACGAACAAAGAATTGCAGATCGATAGTGGTGGCACAGATACAGTCATGCATGAAGGGCTTGATCCTGCCAGTGATGCAAGTGGCAGTGGTATTGTGTGGACACTTTGCTGATGTGGACCCCCTTGCCCTTGGTACACGTTACACCCTGACACGGCCGCTGCAGGGCAGGGCAGGGGCAGCATGTCCTTGCTTGGCCCCAAGGTAAAGGAGGGAGGGCAAGACGAGTGAGGGCACTGGGGCTGGTGCCTGCTCCTTGGGACCATCTGTCTCCAAGAGGCAGTGAGTACCTACAAACATCTCCTTTCGTGACTCCTCAACAGATGCCCACTTCTAACCTTGGCACCTGGCTCCAGTGAAGTGCTGACTCTCCTGTTAGTGAGTCAGGGCACCTGCTGTAAGATGTCCTCCCCGCCCTGTTCACACAAACCACTGCTGAGATGGACTGCAGAACCTCCCTTCAGGGGTAGGAGACATGCAAGGTTGTCACCATAATCTGCAGGTTTCAAGTTGTGCATCTCTCTGCACACGGGGTCAGTATGCTCCTGGAGGGCTCCCAGAAACCTGTGTTCCTGGGATGGACTTCTTCCCATGCAGGGAAATGTAGGGTTATTTTCTCTCTGAAGAGCTGATCAAATCCCACTGAAGTTGATGGAAAAGTTACTGATAAATCCCATGAGTGTCTGGGAGTGAGAAGGGAGAATCTAGGTACACTAGGTTTAACCTCAGCTCTTTTCCACACTAAGTAGAGAGCTGGATTTGGGCTACAGTTAGGATGTCACAGGCACTGTATGTGCAAAGTGGGTGCACAGATGTCCAAAGCACTCAGACTCAGATGCCTGACTCCCTTTCACAGGTGAACAGGGATTCTGGGTTGCAAGAGTGCCAGCCAGAAGATGTGTCTTGAAGGCAAAGACTAGATGTCCTATGCCATAACTGTACCCTACAGAAGAAGGGGGGGAGAGTCAGACAAGCCCAGGGTAGCAAAGACCTAAGCCAGCATGTCTCCATGGTGGAACTGAGCACCATCCAGGCCTACCAGGTTGGCTGGGGCAGTTTAGCCACTTTAATCTGCAGCTAATGAGCAGAATTTATGAGCGAGGCCAATGCATTTAGACAGCACTGAGACCTGAGACAGCTTGTCCCCAGCTGCCTCAGGTGTCAGCACGTTCCAGGTTTGGGTTTAGCAGAGGCAGTAGGAAGATTACATCCATCTTGATCTGTCAGTGGAGACACGCCCATAGACTCCTTTTAAAAGGACAAAAAAAGTCTTCCTCATGCCCAGCTTGTCTAACTCGCTCTGATCATTGCATTTAATCTTAAGCCACTTTTTCTATGATGCCACAAAAATCAGTTTATACTACATACGTGTATGTGCATGTGTGTATTAGATATGATATTTTATATATATATTAAACATATATAAATATCTATTTTATATATATATTATATATATATTAAACAACACATTCTGTTCAATCATCCTCACTTCATGCTCTTCCACTGAATCCCATCACTTCTCTCAAATTGCACAAGTTCTTTAGGACTGAGCTGTCTTTGTTTTGGACTACATTACATATATCCAATTCTAGTGAATAGCACTTTGCTGGTACTGTATTTAGATGCACGAGGGTTTGTTACTATCAGTGATACTCCTCAGAATCTTTACAATATGTCCTCAGGCCCTGACAGAGAACCATCACTAAGCTCATAGTTGTAAATGAGCCATCTATGAATTAAGCTCATACGCACAATGAGGACTGTAGCTATTACTGAAAATTAGCACTGTATTAAACACTAACTTTAACTGTAAATGTATGTATAAATAAATATTTTTAAAAATCAAAGCATTTTGGAGAGTGGGAGAGAGTTGCCATCATTTCCATTCCCACTACCTCTTACAATTGCACAAATGGCGGAAAAGTAATATTTTGGACTTCTCTCCTCACTCAGAAGGCCAATTTTTGGAGGTTTGCCAACAGGGATAAACAGTACACTGTTGTTCTAGATGAACTAGCTAAAATACTTCTCAGAGTTGTCTGGTTTTAGTAAAACAGGTGATCATTTCTGGGATATATTCGTAGTCATTCTTGCTTGCCTTATTTAGCAGGATATTCTCAGTATGAATCACCATTGATGTTTAAAGTAAGAATTCTGGTTTGTTAGATGATATTTTCCAATTAGTAACAAACAACAGATAAGTTGTCCTAAGACTTACCAGAATATGCAGCTAAGACGACTGAATCTCCACTATTAACAAAGTCTATGAGCATTAACAAGGAAGTGCATAACAAGTAACTCACGGCGTATAAAACCCCTGAATAATACAGTATCAAACTATAAATTTAAATAACGGAGAGTAAACAAAAAAATTCACTATATAAATCACAGGAAAGGAAAAAAAAAATCTCCAAAGCCCAAAGGAATTTCCCAATATGAATTACGGCTTCCATAGTCAGTGAAAGATTACTGCAATTCTATATAGAAACAAAAAAGTCTACAGCAGGTATTTTAACTTGCAATTAGAAGAAAGTATCTGCAGATTGCATAATGTTCTGTTGTGTCACATAATATCAAAGTTATTTGCAAAAATTATACAATCTGGAATGCTTTAATATGAGACACAACAATGTACTTAAACACACAGTAATAAAATGAGAGCAATCATTATATAAAATGTATTTTTGGGATGCATTGAGTTAGCAGTGCTATCTAGATTAAATACATAAAGTGAAAAGTCGCCATTTTAATAAGCTGCTCATTGATACCCCTTTTTGCCATCAGGACATTTTCTGTGCCCTACTTCTGCTGGATCTTTAAAGTCCCAAGGGCAAGTTAAAGCCAGTTGTGGTATTCAGGAACAATTTGGTTAAGATCTACACTGTGCGTTTGTTACCACCGTATTTTTTTTTGTTTAAAAGAGAAGTGATTTTCACAAAGGCAGGCTGTTTTCATTGACACAGTAAAATCCTTGGAGCAGGGACCATATTCTGGGCACTGCTAATCACATTGTTGGCACTCAACAAACAAATAATAACAAAATTAATGATAATTTACTTTGCTTACTTAACTCCTACTTATTTGTAGCGCTGATTCCCATGATTTAAGTGATGCTCCTTAGGAATTTTCAGATCCTTTTGGCCTAAGTCCCCTCTGTCTTTCCTGTTGTCTTTCTTCTCAATGTTGCTACTCTCTTCAGTCCAAAAGCCTCTTATTTTCGAGGTGTTGCTGTTTTATTTGCACTTATAGCAGAGGTGTTCAATAAAGCTACACTTCTTTCTGCATTTGGTAAATCTGGTGTGTCATACTCCCAAGGGCAGACTTCAGCTCGAGATGCTAAAGGTTGCTGTAAGTAACTACTTGGCTTATGGGAGTCAGATGAAAGCACATTTCCCTCAGAAGAGGCATTTTTTTTCTGTTCCGCCAATTTATTGAGGTTTTCCTTTTCTGCTGCTTTCTGGGGTAGCTCCTGCTCCGCAGCACAGATATTAGGTGTATATCTATTAACATTCTCACACTTCAGCTCAGGGGAGACCTGAGACTTGGAATTTGACTGTTTTTTCTCATGTTCAAAGACCTGCTGCTCTTGTGTCTCCTGAATGGCTGCCTCCACCTTCTCTGAGCTCTTTTGATTTGACTGTTGATACCCCTCGGGTGTCTTCAGCTTATGATGAGTCTTCCCCTTTGGCTGGGAAGGGTGGTTTTTCTCTGGCTCTGAGGAAGCAATAGACACATGTTTTTGAACTTTAGAGTCAGAAGGCACAGGACCAGGAGTTTGGTCATATATCTCCCAAGGACAAACTTCTCCTATGTCAAAATTGTCCTTGTGTAAAGACTTACCTGGGCCTGTGTCTGGATTTGCAGGAGTTTGACTAACCCTTTGCTGTTTCATAATTCCAGATTTATGGGTTTTCTTTGTTTCCTCAGAGTGGGTAGAGTTCTTCCGGTGGGAATCCTTATGCTCCCCTTTATCGGAGGCTGAGTGCTTTTTGCTGGCCTCCTTACCTTTCTGCTGAGATTTATGAGATTTAGTGCTTTCTTCTAGACTTTGTGTTTTACCTGTTAGTCCCAGAGTCTTTTCCTTGGCACTAGCAATAACACTGAGGGATTTTTGTAACACAGATGTTCTTGGATGCAGAGGCTTCTTATCGGCACTTAAGTTATGTGCACTTACTGATTTGCACACCAAAGGGACTGATTCAGTGGAGACAGCTTCAACTTTCTCAGGAGCGTTTTTGGTTGATTTGTTACTGTTCAAGGAGTCCAGAAGCGAATTCTCAGCAGCTATAACTTCTGCACTTTCTGTAGTTAAGCTATTCGGTTCTTCTGTTTGATCCCTAACATGATCATAAGTGCTGTGGGACTTTTTTAAGGAAAAGACCCTGTTTTTCAAAGTCTCCTCTTTTGGCTTTGCAGGACTCATGGAATCCTGTGGGTTTTTCCTCAACGTGGACATGTTCTTCACAGCACTGTGCTCCATCAGGTCCTTCTCGTCCCTGGAGCACTGCCTGGTGACTGTTTCAGGGATTTCTGTAATACGTCGCATTATCGAGCGCCCTAAGCCCTTTTTAGAGCACCTTTTTTTCTGGAGATGCGGATTATTAGCAATCATCTTTTTCCTTTTATAGATTTCAAGCTGGGCATACAGTTTCTTCAACTCATCCTGCAAAGCAAGTGAATGGCAAAACTAGTATGTACAGAGCGAGTCCAGTCAAACAAGCAGCCCAATGAATGCATTACCCAATGCTCTAAAAAAGGCATTAAACTTATTTCACCATCTTTTCTAACTCTTGAATATGCCACTTCTCCTTCAACTTGAATCCCATTTTCTTCCACTTTAAAAATAAGCTCAACCCTCATGCACAAACACATTACCTTCCACAGCTGTGCACCATACAGCATGCACACCTCATATACATTCATGCTGTATGTTTCAGATTTCACAGTGCTGTGGTGTACACTTTCCTACTGAACAATACAGCTATTCTTTATTCTAGGAACACAAGCCCTTTTATCATGTAAGATAGGAATAAAGTATTTTTTCCTGTTAATCATGTGTTTTTAAAATTTTACATTATGTAGTTATGTTTAGTTATATGCATACAAATGACTAATCACACTGACACCAAATCCTGTTTGCACTTCAACATAATTCAAAGAGCCTATGTAAACTGATAAACAGCTCTTGCTGTAGATGATCCCTCCTCTTTAGCTTTCAGTATGATTTTTACTACAACTAGTAATGCAGCTTCTCTTCACACTAGTGAATTATTTTGCATAAGATTTCACATGACCTGAATACCACAGGCATTGAGAGACCTAAGCTGGCCTGTTTCAGTTGATATCTGCAAAAAAAAAAAAGTCAAATGGATGCAATTCAGAGCTTACTAGTAGGAAAAAGTGTTGTTCTTGAAAATAAATGCTATATTTAAATGAGTTATATATACCCGAATATCTTCAGGATCCAAACTATGTTCACTCCATGCTGAATTGATACTGCTGTTCAGATAGGATCCAGATCGACCCATATCAAGCTCATCTTCATAAGCTTCTGTAGCTATATCATCTCTTGGGTTATTGCTTGAATGTGAAAACTGCAATAAGTATTCATAAAAAAGATGTTGCCATCAGCACAAAAGTTTACTTCCACATCACTGTAAAAGTTTACATACATCAGTGTAAGAGTTTACATTAACAGTTTTTATGGCACAACGATCCTTCTATGGACTTAATGTGATTTTGTGAACTCAAAATACTAGCTATAGACATCATTGGCATAAGTAATGCCCTATAGACTATCAGTATTGTATGAAGGAACTCCTATTACTGATGGCTTAACTTGATAAATCTTAAAGATCTGCATAAGGAAAAAAGTCTCCACTTATTTTGATGCTTATTTGAACCTCTCTAAATTGCATTTAAATTAAACTAGTATGGAAATGGACTTTCAGCTAGTCTTTCCTATTAGGCTGCTAAAACCATAAGACTACCTTTTATATTCCATACTGTTGAACAATCCTGCAGAAAGCAATTCTCACATTTTAGACCCTAACCCTGTAAAGGAAGAGGTGAGGTAGCAAAAAAAAAAAAGAACAAAAAAAGGAAACAAATAAAAAAGAGACAAGTTAATCTCTCTCTTCTAAGTTTCAGCAAATGCTCAGATCAAGAGTTGGAGAGAGGTTGTCAGCTATTTATTTACTCATATTGATTCACTCATCTGTAGTTACTATTGTCCACACAGTCATCTGGCCTCAGAACTTTATGAGTGGAACTAAACCTTCTGAATCTTCTCTTAATTCCCTGAATTCTTTGTTGCGCTGGAAGAAAAGTCTGTACAGTGTTACACAGATAATAAGCTAAAAATGGAAATGCTGATCAGCTTCAGAAAGGTCAACAAATTTCCTAGGTTAGTCTAGAAAGACATCTTTGAAGGTATGTGATAAAGTATATGAATATAAAATAGAAAATAGTAAGATCATTGCTAAAGACCAGAAAAGTAATTTAAAATAAACCAAGGTTATTTAGTATTCAGGCTGCATCAGTGTGTCCCCTTGTTATGACTGTTTAACATATGTGACAGTTATCAGCATACCCTGTTCTGACACACAGGCAAAAGACAGAAATAGCAGCTTCATTAACATGAAAGTTGTATTAACTTGAACTGCTCAGTGTCCTTCCTTCGTATTAGCTTCCACCTTTACTGTTTGACTCCTGACTTCTTATTAATATTACTGGTCATTTCAAAAGCCATTATAAAATCACTTGTTTTTCTAGGGTACTCTCTAAGAAGAAAGCTCCATTCAGATCCTGTGGGCTGGTGCCGGAGACAGGTAGAGCTGCCTGCAGTTCTCCTGACCCTGGCGAGACTGACATATTGTTGCTTCTCTCCCTGAGCCTGACGGGAGGCGTGCCACAGTGCTCACAGCTCTGCCTCTTCTCTTCTCTGCCTCCTGCCATCCTCCATCTTCTTGTGCCTCACACAACTCCCCTTCTTACCCTGCACCATTCCTGGCTCTGTATCATGGGCCACATCTGCCTCAGTATACAGCATCTGTCCACTCCAGGCTCAGATTCACAAAGGGCTCTCCTTTTTCAGCCTGTAACAACTGTCCGGTTTAAATCCCAAACTCTCTCTCTCATGACTAGTCCAAGTTCCTCATTCCAGTTTTATTTGTGAGTCTATCCCCTCACCTAAACTCTTTGATCTCAGCTAACTCTGGCAGCAGCATGGTCACTCAAATAACTGAAATAAGCATCATTAGGCAGGATTCTTTCCTTCTTGTATTAATCACAGCAAAATTTAAAGCCCTAGAATTTTGAAAGCTGAAAGAAAGAATCTTTGAAAATCTACAAAAGTTGTTAAAAGAATATACAACTTTTTAGGTAACACAGCCAAATTTTACATCTTCCTTTTCTATCAGTTGCTTGCTAATTTTATACAGCGTTGCTTCTGCATGACAACATGTATCTTCCTCGGCCTCGGCAAAAGAAAAGAGACAGGAGACTCAAATACCTTAGGGATAAGAAGTAGACCAACAGTGACTGTCACAGTCAAGTGTGTGTGTGCAAAGAATAGCATCAGCATCCAGTCAGACTGAAGTCTTGAAGCAAGAATGAACCTGAAAACAGAATGCAGGGTTGCAATTCACTAGCTTTTCTCCACTATATTAGATTCAACATTTTTAATATTCCTTAGGATTCTTTTTATTTGAAAAGCCAAACATAACTGGTTTTTTTTTTCTGTACTGCTTTCATAAAGACTAAACATTACATCCACATGCTTTACTCATACACCACAGTTTCAAAACAAGTCAGAGAAAAACAACCAACAAAACAAGCCAAAATAAAATTAAAAAAAGAAACAACAGATCTTAAACGATATTGCTTATTCCATCATTCTCACTCTATTTAGCTGGGTGTTTCAGTGGTTTATATTGTCACAGCTCCTTTGGCCTGAACTGACTTACGGCTGTTTACATACATTAAGGATCTGAAGGGATGATTTTAGGTGAAGTAAGCACACGTACTATGATAAACTGCAGTGCACTTCAAAAATACAGGATGTCCATACATTGCAGCCACAGAGTGAGGCTGATAAGCCATCAAAGGGAGAACTGAACCAAAATGCATTTCAGTGGGGAGCAGAGAAATGGTCTTGATTGCAGGACCGCCCAGCTCAATATTGCAGGGCCCAAGAGCCCTGCGAATGCTAGGAAATGAATGGCTGAACCTCCCAAACGAAGTGATTCCTTGCTGAGCTTTCTAAAAGAGTGGTAGAACAAGTGCTGCAGTTAAAAGCTAGCTGGAGCATGCTTGGCTGGTCTGCTCTAGTGTGCTCCCAAAGACCAAAATGGTAAGCAGTGCAATGGATGAATGGATGTACCATTGGCTTGTAATTTGCAGGTTTACAAAAATCATTCAGATAGAAATGACATTTGCAACTTATCCAAGTCCACAGATGCACATTTTGCAGAAGCTTTTGTTAACAGAAATAGGCTGGCATGAAATGCTGGCTTAGATGCCGTAATAATACAGTCATCATTTCTTGTTTAATACTTTGTAAGTGAAATGTTTACCGAACACAATAAAATATTCAAATTATTTCTTACAGAGATATTGGTGTTGAGGTGTGCAGGGATATGAGGAGGTTGAGGCCTGAGGTTTAGCTAACTGAACACGACACGAGAACTATTGAAGATGACAGGAGAAACTGCTGGATATAACAAATATCAGAGCAAAAAGTGAACAAAAGTTACAGACAGTGCTGTGAGGGATGCCAAGATTTCACAGGTGGTTAACAGGGAGTCATGTGAAAGATGGCCAAACTTCACAGCTAATGGAAAGGAACACTGAGGGCCTTTGGGAGAGTAGAACTTGCCAAGTCAGAGGTACTGATGTAACCATATCAGTAACAGCATATAAGGCTGTGATTACCTAGCTAATGACATCAGAAATACTAAATTTGAGTACAGATGTAGCAAAACTGGAAGCAACAGGAAAAAAAGTAATGAGGGGTGGGTTGTTTATTGGGGAGAAGACAAGGACAGAGACAGAGGGGCTAAGGTAGATGGGGGAAGAACAAGCATGGAAAGAAGAGGAGATAAAAGGGGCTAGTGACACGTAAGCAAGTTGTCACTGACTGAGCCCTGTACTTGATCACTGCAATACACCCTATCTTCTCAAGAAATCCTTCTCCTAATGTCTGTGTGATCTCAGTCTCTATGTTGTGCATCTGTGTATGCGCAATTCATGAGCAAACTTCAAGCTGGACTAGCCAGCACATGGGAGACCCACATTTGGAAAGACCCAAGTTCTCAGCCTGTGACTGGGTACGGGGCCCCAAACCCAGACATTAGATTGGCTTAAGGACTGTGCTCCTATTTGAAGGACCTGTGAATGTGGTGTGCTTGCAAACTTATACAGGGTGTATGTTTCACTAGTGAACATGATCAGCTGCAGAGGAGGAATAGGACTGGGCTGTACCTGTTGGACCTGTGCTAGTCCATGTGGCCAGCCATGTGCTGCATGTGACCTCACCATAGTGGATGTGCTCAGCATTGCTAGGCCTGCAAGAGGAAACAGCAGCAGGCACCTCCATTAAACAGAGACAGAAGAAAGCTCCCAGATCCTGATGCCCACTGGATTTCGCTAACCCTTAACAGCTTCAATCCCCAAATTCTGTGAAGGCAAAAAGCCTGTTTTACGTGTGAAATCTTGGCTAATTAAGGTATCCACACCATACCCCTGAAAGCCAAATAGCCATTCAGACCCAGCAGAGATGAGGTTTCTATTTGAATGAGATTTTCTCCACATAAATTTTGTTTGTCTCAGCAATACAAGAGAAAGAGCAATGCAGGAATTTAATGCTATGCTGATCTGAAGAAAATCAAGAATTCTTTGTTTCTGGAATGGGAATAATACTTTTAAAGAAAAAAATATGCAAACAGTTCAAGGCTTTATTTAGTGTTCACATCAATCTTATATGAGCTTCGGGAGTTTTCAGACTGGATGGCTGCCTTGTAATAATAGGTGTTCTTCAAGGCTCCAGTGCTTTCAACTTTATGACAACTCAGATATGTCATATAAATCTGAGTCTCACATTTCCGCTCTTTCAGTTACATCCAGAACTTGACGGGAAGACAGAAGCAAAAAAAATACCTAAGGAAATTTGAACTTCAAAGAGATTGGATTAAGACTTGTGTATACAGACATGGACATAATCTCAGGAAGGATCACGTACTTTCAGTGCATTTTATTAATTCCTATTCATAAACAGTACATGATAGTTCTTCAACAAACCAGCAAGTATCAGACAGAGGGCAAAGAACCAATGCAAAATGTACATGTTTTATAAAAAATGAAGCAGACTTCAGGCTGAAGGAACAGGATCCTCAATAGGATAAACTGAAAGATCTAATCCTTTTCTGTCCCCTTCATAATGCATGTATTAAAATGCCACATTTCCCCCTTTTCCCCTCTCTTTAATACAAGATTACTTTCATCCTGTCCTATCATTAAAAGAAACTTGCAGCCCCCATAACAGCTCTCCTAATGCACTGAACTGTATCTTCTAACATGGCCCAAAATTTGGTTTAGGAACATTAATTAAGGGGGAAAAATTTTGACTGAGAAGCTGTCATATTGGTTATAATCAATTCCAAATTATTGTAAATTTATTTTATATCAGGAATGAAAAGAAAAATGCTTCCATCAAATACAGACTTTAAACATTATTTTTGCAGATGTTTCTGTTAGGAATAAGACGATTTTGAGAGTATGTGGATGTTGAGAGATGGGGTTAGAAGAAGGTAAACATTATTTTTGCAGATGTTTCTGTTAGGAAGTAAATAAGACGATTTTGAGAGTATGCGGATGTTGAGAGATGGGGTTAGAAGAAGGTGAAGGAAAGAAAAAGTTGAAAGCCTGAAAAGTGCAGCAAACTTTATAACAATAATAAGGGAAAAGAGCACCTGGAAGGAATAGCAATGAAAGATTTGCTGTGCTGATGTTTACTCAGAAAAAATTATGCCTCATGGAAGCAAATATCAAGAAGGCAGAGAGAAACCCGAGTTCCAAGACAGATCAAGAAACAGAGAAAAGTATTTGAAGACTGTCAATGGAGCAAAGAAAAAAATAAAATAAAATAAGTCCTAGTACATACGGTCTGTCAGGTGGCAAAAGCAGGCGTGAGAATGTCATAAGAAAGTCGTAAGAATCTCTTATAGCATGAGATGAAATTCATACTATCTTGCTATTTTGAATTTCCTAAGACCAATTCATTTTTACAGATTACTCTGTAGGAAAGGCATATATAGTAATTTTCATGTAGTCTGGAAAAGACCCTTATTTATTTATTACTATTCTAATAATTAACAAGTATGAAATGTAGAGCTCATTACTACCTTTATAAGAAACACGTGATTTATATTACTGTTACAGCATCATAAGCATAATAATTTTTTATGTCAGCATATAAAACACTATGCTTCATGCACAAACCAGTGCAATTATCTTAACATACAGCTGCACCTTGCCAAACTTACACACCGGGAAAAGTTCATATAAACCAACATTCTTACCTGCTGTTTTTCTAGGGATACAAACCAGTGAGCGGTATGCAGATGACTGAAGACAGAGAGTAGTTTCTACTTTATCATTATCATTTATCAGTATCTACTTTCTAATTCATCATATATACTGGACTTTGATCCAAGAACTTATCAGCTAGCTCTACTGAAAAAAACCCTAATTATACAATTAACAAGTTGATTGTACATATTCTTGAATCTTATGGGAACAGTTTTAAGTTTAGTAATGACTTAATTTGCAGATCAAATATTTATGAGACCTTCTATTGTGCATCCTATACCATTCACACATTTTAAGTTGCACCATATGAAACCTGAAAGATAAATAGTTAATTACTAGATCTACAGATCACTTGCCTAATTGTATGGAATATAGCAGAGATAATGAGCTCATTGTGAACTGCAACAGCCATATAACGTGGCTCATGAAATGCTGATGGGACTGTCCGCACTGCATAGCAGAGATAAACACCCCACAAGAGGAATAAAAATTCAGCTGTGAGAAGAACAAAAAGAAATATTTTGCAATTAGTTTTACATATGAAAATGGAAGGAAATTCGAAATACTTTATTATTGTCTGTATGTGTGAGTATTTATGCAAAGACAGTATACACTCATACATGTATATATGTACAAACACAGGCATTCAAACTCTTTCAGATATGGTCGCTGCACATGATACATTTGGTTTTCATTTTACATGCTCCTTTTTTCCGGATTAGGAACCTTTGCACTCACGGTGTTTCAGTTTTTCAACTGACAAACTTTAAGACAATGTCTAATAATGTCTTGCTTGTTTTTCAAATTGGTACTACAGAAGTTTGACATCATTTAAAACAAGTATTTTTATTTCTAGCTCTGGTTCTTGTTATAGAGACAGATACTGGTGCTACTATTAGACTACAAGCTTTTTAAGACAACAGGTTCATTTCAAAGGTTTATAACTCAGATATAATATATTTTGGGTTAAAAAAATTCCTCTGTTCATGATAGTTAATTCTGCTGGTGCCCATAATACGATGAGTCATTTCTGAGTGCTTAATGTAATGATAACAAATGACTTGTTTCTCTCTGTTAGGAGAAAAATGAATAAAGGAAGAAAGGAGAAGGAGTAAGGGGTCAGGATCAGCTTAAAGTATCCTGTTAAATCTAACTCATCTGAACCCAGCAGTACTCTGCCTTCAGTTTCCAACAGACAGTCGGCTGTGACATCATTTCGCTTTTGATACAAATGAAATAATTTCATATCCATCTTTAAAAAATCTCTCCTTCCAGAAAAAAAAAACAAAAAAACAAACCACAGCTCTGCCATGTAGCTATGAGTAGAGCTGGCGCCTGTGTCTCTTGCATTGCAGTTTGGGTTGACGATGGCTGGAAGTGGTTGAGCCTATCCAGCAACATGCAATTCCATGATAGACCCCTGCAACGCCAGCACTGCTCTGGACCCGCTTCAGAAATTGAGTGTGATCCTGTTGTTACTCATACGCTGCTTTTGCCTTATTGAATTTTTGCAGTAAAAACTGCAAATGTAGCATAACAGAAGATTAGTTTTTTTCATACTTATTTTTGCCAATAAATGTCATTATACTGTAACTAGAACTGGTGATCAGTGACATCACCCTGTGGTAGTGATCAGCAAATATTACTGGTCTGGTCTGGATAAGGATGCAAATGCTTGTGAACCCTGCCATTAGCAACAGACTGAAATAAAACATCTGCATTGGATATCTCATGAGAACAGGTCTTCTGGTTCCTCCACTTTTAATAGTCTCTAACTGCTATAAATTACTATTAAATTAAATCTATATTATATTGTTATAGCATTTTGAGGCTTCTACTTTCGCTATGAATCTCAGCTAAAATCAGCAAGAGACAAGCCCGGATAAAATGAAAATTAATTCAGTTACAGATCTCTCTGTGCTCTGGTAAGAGTTCACTTTGAACAACATTTTGCATGTTTCTTATTTTTATCAAAAATAGATGGCCTAGCTTTAAGATCATCATTTTTACTATAACATATCCTGCATAAAACCAGCAGTTTTACCAGTTAAATAAAAACAAACAACTGAAAAGGCATAATCCACACATGCTGCTATTTTTGTGTTCGTCCTTATCAAACTCCCAACAATAAGAAACCTTTTTACTTTAATAGTTTGACTTGGGACCTTACCGAGTGTCAATATGAAAAAAGCATGGTATGAACCTTCTAGGACTATGTGTCCCAGCCTGGTTTTGAATTCTACAAAAGCACGTATGTAGCTATCTTTCCCACATCCCCCATACACTTATCGCTTGGAGAAACTGGCTTCTACTTCCATTTAATTCCTAGATAATTAGCTACGCTACCAGTGAAGTCTATTACTCTGGTTTCTTAAAAACATCTACACAGGAATCTACCTGCCAAGCCATCTTGCTCCTGAAGTCTTTTCTGAGCAAGTGGAATACAGATATGCTTCAATGACAGAAGATTAATGTTAGCAGTTTTGGTTTTTCTCCTCAGGTACACTTGCCTTGCGTACGCAGAATCATAGCACGAAATGTATTGCTCTTCAAAGCACTGAAATTTATTGCTTTAATTGCTCCATATTGATTTAGAAGAAATTGAAAATGAGAAAATCGTTAGAATCAGGTTTCTAAAGCCAAATCACTGTACCTGACTGTACCATGTTCTATGGAAACTCTTCTTATTAATTTTTATTCCCCAGAACATCCTGAGAGAGAGCTGATTTCCTCTCATTTTGCCTTTCATCCAAAGTCCCCCTGCAGTAAAAACCTTCCAACATTATTAATTGTGAAATGACAGGCATACTCCACAAAACTACCCATGGTCCATTCTTCTTTCTCTTCCTCAGCTGAAGGGAGAAGAGCCTCAAGTCTCTTACTGATTGAAAAGATCAGTTAAAAGTGTCAACAGAGGCTGAGTTTGAAAAAGTTTGGCTTTTAAAAGGATGAAAATACATGTATAAAACTCAATGTGCTGAAGGTGTTCCTACAGAAAATAGAGACTGTGGGCCAAATTTTGCTTATTTTTACAAGAAAAAAATCTGCTCTATGTTCGAAGATTTACAAGAATTACTTTTTTTTTCTTGGTATACAGATTTGTATACAGGTATCTTGGAGAGCAAATGAAAATGAAAAAGCCACACCTCCATGATGAAAATCAATTTCAATGAGCTGGGGTAGGGAGGAGTGAAGGTAGCATTTGATCACCAGATCTGATTAATTCTGAAAATTTCACAGCTTTCAGTTTCACAATCGTAGTTACAACGAGTTCATAAGACAACAAGAGAATATTTCAAAGTATTAATATACTGGACCATAACAGTAGTTTGCACCATTTAATGCATAATGCTTTTA